TTGGTTTCTCCAAGATCTATGACCTCTTCAGCTATATGTATTTGGCTAGGTTTACAGTACCAGACATGTGTTTCCTCCCATTGAGTAGATTTTAAGTCCAATTAGGTAGCTGTTGATTACCCCCAAGATAAATAGTGCCTAGCTAGTATAAAAAAAACAAACAAAAGGAATCGTATTAGTCTTAAAACCTACTGAAAGATTACACTTACAATATCCCTACATGAGTCCATGAGCATAGCTGAAGACTACATAGCAAGAAACAGTGCCAGACAGGAGAAACCTTCCTTTGAGTTGTTGGCCAGGGTGGTCCAAGAGACTCCCAAAATTACACAGGTTATTGCCACAGTCCTTGATTGGCTCGCAGAACTTTGTGGAAAGACCCTATTGCTGAAGACAGGACATACTTTGGACACAGGATTTGGAGCAATGGCACTGGAACTGACTTGGAAGCCACCTCCCCTGAAGGCAACCTCTCATAGCTCTGGAGAGCACTAGACAAGCTCGTAAGGGAGAACATTAATCAATGGTCCAACCCCAGCTTCAAGGCCTAAAAACCACAACAATGACCAGCACAGCAAATGACATTGGTACAGTGATGGATAGCTTTTTAATGTGATAATTGTCTGCGGTAATAACGAAGATAAATAGACAGAAAATTTCCTTCTTTTCTTTGTAACGCATATTTTAATCAAAGCTGGGTCTGAGTAAAATAACTTATTAGATGTGTAGGTCTCATTTTTTGCCATTATTTCTTTTGTTTTGTTTTATATTTTATCTTTTGAGATAAAAATTTAAATGTAATCTTTATCTGTCACAGTTTAAATTTTACAAAAAAAATATTTATTTTATGTGTATGTTTTGCCTATATGTACGTAAGTGCACCCATGCATGCAATGGCCATGGAGACCAGAAGAGGGTGTCAAATTCCCTGGAATTGGAATTAAGGACAGGTACTAGGTACTATGTAGGTTCTGAAACCAAATCTGTGTGCTGAGCCTCTCAGCCATCTCTCCAGCTACCCTATTTGTCAGTTTTAACTTGACTTTGAACTCCATAAACTTGACCATGCTAGAAAAGGCATGAAACCATATACACTTGTGTGTGTCTGTACATATATATATATATATAAATGCATATGCTTTATATTGATCTCTAAAGTCTCTATATTAGCTCATTATTATTAATGGCTTATAGCAATTGTCCCAAATTGAGTTATTAATAATTTGATCTTTCTAGTGCAGATTTTAACAAAAGCTTTTTGAATACATAGATGTAATTTTTACTGATTATTTGTTGCTCACACTTATCACTAAGAATATAAACAGCATCAGAAGATAGCATTAAAGCACCTGCTGACCATTTGGGTATAGCAGCAGTAATCTAGCCAGGTCCCCAGGAGCTGAGTTGAATCAAATTTCTGCCAACTTCCCATCAGAGATATTGTGTCAGTAAAGTAGGGTTTTGTGTATGCAGACATATACAGTCTTTAAAATAAATGAACTGTAGAAACTGTGTATTTTTGAAGGGTCTCCTATAGCTAAATAGCTTACATTGGGGAAAATACATACTTTTATATCATCAAGAGAGAAAATATAAATGATAATAAAGATGTAAAAAACTACAGATGAAGACCAAGGGTCCTGGCAGAGTGAACCAAGGGAAGAATTTGTCCACTTAGGTAGCCCTCATAGCAGGGAGCAGATCAATTGCTGCAAAGCTGTATGCCCTGCAGTAGTGTAGCTATGCTATTTTAGCAGAAGCCAGAACAGAAAATCCAAAAAGAATGCAAGTTAAAATTGCGCCTAATTACAGGTATTTTTAAGGAGCCAGAGCAGATTTTTCCAATCTGCTCTGTATTACTTTGAGCTGTTAAGGCTGTGCTTCCTCATCTTATTTTGAATGTACAATGTGTAAGAGCTAGTCAGAAGAAAGATAAAAAAGAAATACTCTATGGAAATTCTGCTGCCTTTCCAGACTCCACACATGTGTGTGCATATGTGTAACTCTTCAAACTATTGTAACAAGCTCTTCAATGCAAAAGAAAAAAAAATCTCACTCCAACCCAATAGATAAAAGGAGAATGGTCATCCTGATTGACCTCTATGTTAAAACTATATAATTTAAGGACTGGAGAGATGGTTCAGGGCTTAAGAGTACTTGCTGTTCTTCCAGAGGATCCAGATTTGATTCCCAGTACCCACATGGTAGCTAACAACCATTCATAACTCCAGTTCCAGGAAATCCAACACCCTCTTCTGGCTTCTGTGGGCATTGCACACATATGGTGCACTTACATATATGCAGACAAAACACTCAAACACATAAAATAAAACCAATAAATAAAATAATAAAAATACTGTATAATTTAAAACTCGAGTTGATGATCAAAGCCTTCTAAATTCACTCTTACCTGGCTCCTTCAGGCATTTCACTTCTCCATAGCTTACTCTGACAGATAGGTCTTTTCATGCATCATCTCATCCCTTACTTCTCTTTTGTATTTTTCTTTTATTTCTTTGTTCAAGAAATTAACCTTAATGCTCTCTTGGACTTCCAGTCGCTGGTTGTTTCATTTGTGTTTCTTGGCACTGATGACCAATCAAGTTGCTCAGGGCACAGAATCTCTCTCCTCTTACTCTGAGCCAACACTAACATTTTTTTGGGTCAGAGGTCAGATCTAGGTCTTATGAGATCAACTATTTCAAATTACTCTTTTTCATCTCAAAATGGCTCTTCCTTCTATATTCACCTAACTCATTCTCCCTATTAGCTCTCTGATAAAAGTGCCATTTGAAAGAGAAAACTAGTCCAATGACCTGAGCCTGACGTTAGCTGTGTTGTTAACTGCCATGGTACAATGCTGAAGTGCAGTGCCACCAGAGTGTGGCAGGGACACCAAGCTTCAAATCGGTAGGATGGGACTTGGCTCTGGTCAGTCTGTCTCTAACAGCTTCTTAGACGCCTGTCCTCTGGCTTTTCTTCACAGTGCTCTCTGTCCTGAAAACAAAGAGCAGGATGGTCAACCTTGCTAACTCTTCTGTCATCTTCTTTGATTCTATCCTGTCTTGTTGCTTTCACTTCATCGTTCCCTTCCCTTTTCTCCATGGTAAAGTATGGCTTCTGTTTCCATCACTTGTCCATCGAAGAATTTTCCACCTTTTCCCTAGCTTTTTCTCATTTTTCTATTTCTTGAAGACTGATGGCCTCCCATTGCAATAGCTCTCTCAACTCTCCCCTTCTTTAACACGTTGTATTCCACTTAAGCTTTCTCCAAATGTAATTAAACATCTGCCCTGTGCCCATTGCTATGTAAGTGCTGGGATGGAGACAGGGTCCCTATTCTCATTTAGAAACTAACTGAATAAGGATGCACATGGTTGTAAGATTACAGTTAAGAGCTTTGAATGAGAGTAACACTGTGCTATGGAAACCCTCAATAGGAGTATTCAGTTTGGTTTGTTCTTTGGGAAATTGACAGTTGACAGACCCAAAATATGACTAGATAGAGGCAGAGAGGAAGGGAATTGAGAATTGTTGTCTTGACAGAGGATTGAGGGGAAAATTTAGAGGCAGAAGAAGTATAGATGCGTGAAGAACCCATAGGTGCATACCTTTAATCCCCAGCATCTGGGAGGCAGAAGTAGATGGATCTCTGTGAGATGGAGGCCAGTCTGGTATACGCAGTGAGTGCTAGGCCAGCTACATAGTGAGACCTTGTCTCAAAAAAAAAAAAAAAAAAGAATTTATAGAGGTAAAGTTAGAGATAGCAAGATGAAGACTTTCTGAAAAGGAAGATGGAAATCAGGCCATGCCAAACACTGTCATCTACAATAAGGGATTTATCCTTAATTTTAAGGCAATGAAGGCATGTCTGAGAGAGTGAGAGGGAAAGAAAGAGGGGGAAATGGTGGAAGAAGGGAAAGGAGAGGAAGAAAGAAACAAAGTGCTGTGCGACATATTCTAGGGAGACATGAACAAATGTCTGTTCAATCCCTGTACGGCACTAGTGATGAACCAGACAAATGGTTCCATCAAAGGTTAGTTTGCTAACGCAGAGAGGTTGTACGTTTCCTGGGCTTACTTACAGGGGCGTGGCTGATGCAAAGACAATAACATCACCTAAAAGCCCACCCCAACACAGAGGATGATGACTCATGAAAGTTGTATCCCTGGAACTTCTGTCCAAGTTGCAGGCAGTTCTACTGAAGACTCCCCTCGGCTAACCTTGGAGAGGGGCCTTGTGAATCTTATGACTTTATGAATTTCCTGAACCTCATAAATTCCATTATTTTCTGGAGTCTTAGGAGCGTTCCTCCTGCCTTCAGGAAGGAATGTTTCAGTTTGGAGGAAATACTAGTAACACAAGGTATGTTTATAAAAGATCTCTGTGGATAAAGTATGAAGAATGGATGAAGGGATTAGAGAGAGGATACAATTAAGTGAGGGCTGTACAAGTCCACGCAACAGGTGGCATCTTGCATACTGGGATGGAGAGGAGCAGAGAGATGCAGGAAATGGAAGGGGGGTATGATATAGACAAGGTAATGATGGTGAGAAAAAGGAGAGGGCTGTGCCACAGATGACTCTGGGTTCTACTCCTGCCTTGTGGAGAATAGTTAGTCCCTCTAATTGATGGAGAAGTGTTGGTGGTCTTCAAAGGCTGCTTCTCAACTCCTACCCCTCAATATTCTTTCCCTTCTGTGGTACTTCAGCTTTTAGGATTTAAATCCCAATTCTGCAAAATATAGTACAGTGTATTACAGAAGCTGTTAACTGGTGACCCATTTGACAGATTCACATTTGATCTTGTGGGATTTTTTAAAAATAAAACAGTAGGCAAATCATGAAGCATTTAAAATGTATGTTTGTACACTTAAATTATTTGCAGTACAGATTATTAATATATTACATATATTTTGAATCATATGAAGCATCCAAATACTACTACATAGATGCTTGGTTATAACATTATTCTTTTTTTCCTTCTAATTTCCTTCTAGAACTCTTAGAACGATCCCTAGCCCTTTTAAATAAAAGTCGACAACTCACTGACTTCATAGAGCAATTCAAGTGTGAAGGACCTAATGTGAATTCTGAGTTGACTCAGGGAGCTCAGAGTAGCTGTCTGAAGATCGACAGCCTCCTTGAACTTCTGCAGGATCGGAGAAGACAGCTAGACAAGTACTTGCAGCAACAGCGGCAAGAACTGGCTCAGGTTCTGCAGATATGTCTGTGGGACCAACAAGAAAACCAGGTAACCCAAATGGGCAGAGAGTAATACCCTGGCCTTGACCACTTGGTTATTATATGGACTAGCCATGCTTGGCTAGTCTTGGGAGGGTATTTGAAATGACATTGTTGAATCCTTTAATGAGCAGTCCAAAAGCCTTTCCTCCGAACTATCATGTAAATATGCATATGAAAGTAAATATTCTAATTTTCTTTCCTTAAAATATTGATTTTATAAGTGGGAGAATGCCTGTGGGCATTTTAGAAAATAACTGTGTTCTACTGTTGAATTTACTTTCTCCCTTCCAGGTCATTACTTTTGGGTATATTCCTTGAAATTCTGAAATGCTGATTATAGTTTTCTGCAAAGCTGGGAAGACATGGGGTTGCTGAATTGTGCTAGATTGCTGCTGAGGTCTTTTAAAACAATCTGCAAGCTTAAAATAGAGACAGTGTTCTTGGAAGAGTGGTCAGGTGCCAGTGAAATACTAAGACATTGGCTGATGGCTCGATGCTTAGGGTTCCAGGGGTTTGGGCCTCTATGAGTTTATAGGTTCATTAGAGTTCATTACCCACACTGCAGCCACATTTTTGAGAAGTTGTCAGTATGCCTACAAAGTATTCCTTCCATCCCAGTCATTTCGGAGTAAAACTGGGCAGAACTTTCTTTGTAAAGGCCCAAATCAAATAGTTGGCATATTTATTGCAACTTTTCTGGTTGTTTCAGTTCCATACTCATCGAGGTATAGGCTAAGTAGAAAGGAATCATGTAGAGGGAGCTATTCTACTCTGGACACACAGGAAGGGAGTCTTGTCATAGCTCATATTTCTCTGGTGCAAACTCAAGGGACAGACATATCACTGCAAGCAAGTCTGAGATCAGCTGAAGCTGGCTTTTATTTCAAGCTGGAGAAATGAAGATTTGCATTTCCCTTTACACCTTGAATATCTACCAGATTTTATTTCCTGTTTTAAGTGTTAGAGGTACACACAGCTCAGAGTCTCTTTCCTCCATGAATTTTCCTTCTGTTGAGTCTGGTCTTAACACTGTTGGTATTTGGTAGTACATAATTCTTGCTGTGAGGAGGAGGTGGTCCTGTGCTGTTGAATAGAATCTCTAACATCTACCACCCTACTTTGAGTAGAATATCCTCAGTGAAGGCATCTAAAAATGTTACCAGATTTTGTGAGACACAGCCCAGTGTGCAAAATTATCCTCAGTTGAGAACTACTGTTCTGTGTGATGAGAAAGTCATAAAATAAATGAACAGTGGTAAATGCTATTTAAAAATCAAACAGGACATAAATTTTGGCACGTGTTCCCCTACTATTAATCAGACAAACCTCTCCCAGGAGGTGGCATAGATCACAGACTCCAATGCAGATCCCCCCAGTCATATGTTTGTGCTTCCCCCTCCAGGCGTCATCCACTTTCTGAGCCACCTCCACTGGCATCACTTCTGCCTGGGCTCCTGCCCTCCTTCTGCTGTCTTTACAACTGTCTGCTCCTTTTCTCTCAGATCCCATCCTTATGCCTACCCCACCTTCTCATGCTTATTACTTAAGGGACTGTCATTCAGTGCAGTCATCTTTCACGGATCATTGTGGTATAACACAAGGAAATTCATACCAAGGATAAGATGCCACTCAACATTGTTAGACAACTGTTCCAAAGTTCTTTGTCTTCCTTATCATGAATGGTTCTGTTATAGTTCATTCTCTTTCCCATCCATTCCCTCTCTCCCTTTCCCTCTTCACCCCCACCCCTTCCAGCTCTCTACTAATTTTGATCTGCTAGCGTATTCAGAGCTACTGTCTCCTTAAGGAAATTTCCCACTTAAATCTTTTTTTCTGAGCCCATAGCCCAAACCTCTGACACTGACGCTTCCGAGAACAGACTAAAAACTCTTACTTTATCATTCTCAGGAGATTGTTGCTCATTCAGATTAACCCAGAGAGACCTTTTCTCGCCAAAGAAAAGGCTCATCCAAGTTAATTGTTCCCAAGCACTGTAAAATTTCTCCAAGAGTGAGAAAGCAGCTATAGTAGGTTTAATTTATTTTTATTTTTAAGATGGCAATTTTGCCTTCCCGCTTCATGACTGCAGAACTAATCAGCCACTTGAATTTCCTGCAGTATAAAAAAAAAAATCAACAGAATTCAGAAAATTCTAATGAAAACATTCCAACCTAGTCACATACTTAAGAAAAATCTAAATGTCTTGACAACCCTAGAAAGCTAAGAAATTTTTGACGATAGCTAAAGTAAGGTATTATAGATGGTTTCTGACTTGTCTGACTTGGTAAGTTCAGATTTATGGGTCCATATCTTATTTTTCTTATTATTTTTTTAAGTGAGGTGCTTTTGCAGGTTGTTTTTAGAAAAACAGATCATCTTTTACAGCAGTTCCCCCCCCCTTCGGTCTTTTTGAGACAGGGTCTCCCTGTAGCCCCAGCTATCCTGGAACACATTATGTAGACCAGGCTGGCCTTGAACTCACATAGATCCATCTGCCTTTGCCTCCTGAGTGCTGGGATTAAAGGCATGAGCCACCACGCCTGGTGGAAATCTTTACTTTTTGCTCAAATTTTCTGTGAACTCACACCTTCAATCCCAGCACTCAGGAGGCAGAGGCAGGCGGATCTCTGTGAGTTCAAGGCCAGCCTGATATACATAGTGAGTTCCAGGCCAGCTGGGGCTGCAGGGAGACCCTGTCTCAAAAAGATGAAAAAAAAAAAGTAAAGACTTCCCATGTAACCCTGGCCCAACACACACACACTATCAGTTTCTCTCAGCAGAGGGAATGTGCTATCACTGATGTTTTACATCCAGACTCACTATCAACCAGCCTACTCTGTGTACTGGGTTCCATCCTAGTGCTGTGCCATGTGTGAATATGGACAAATCTATAACGGCTTTTATATGCTTATAATATCGTACAGAGTGACTACTCCCCAAGTCCTCTCTGCTCTGCCAGTTATTCCTACCCTCCCAGACATTTACATAGATGTGCTTGTCACTGACTTCATGGTTTGACCTAGATTGTCTAGTTGGAACCACACATTATATAGCCCTTTCATACTGACTTATTTTTTAAATATTTTGTTCATTATTTTTATTTTATGTGTATGAGTGTATTGCCTGCATGTATGTGAGTGCACCCGTGTCTTGAAATACTGACTTATTTTTTAACCAAGTAGTAAACAATTAAGTTTCCGCCATATCTTTGCATGGCTTAGCAGCTGACGTCAGTCTCGGAATGACTAATATTCCATTATCTGGATATACTACAGTTTATTTGTCCATCCATGTATTAAAGAACATCTTCATTGTTTGCAGATTTTCACAAGTATGAATAAACAGCCATGTGTTAGTTTTAGTGTGACGTTAAATTTCATTTTATTTGAGTAAATACTAAGAAGCATGTGTTGGACAGTGTGGCTAGAATATTTAACTGTTTTCTAAAGTCAACTATGCACTTCACCAGCAATGAACGAGATAAGATGGGTGTTGCTCCACATCTTTGACCACAGTGGAGTTTATTGGATTTTGGGCACTCCAGTAAGGGAGCTGTATTTCATTGCAGTTTTAAGCGCCTTTATCTTTAAACAAGAATAATACTAACTCACAGTTGTTCCAATAATTAAATGGAATAGCATGCTTTTATAAAACATATAGTATAATACCTAGCATCTCCAGAGATGATTAATAAGTATGAGTTTCTCTCTCTCTCTATTAGCTGAACCTACATAAATTCCTCCTCTGGGTTTAGTGTTAGTGTCACGTTGGGGTTCCTTGATGATGCACAGTTGAAAGCCTCAGAGGCACAGCAAGAATTTTCATGCATAGGGCACAGGATGGAACTTTTATTTGTACTCCATTCCTAACAGTCTTGAGCCAAAACTAATTTAATTATAGTATAAGACCAAACACTATTTTAAATAAAACTCATTGATAAATAAGATAGTTATGGCCTTACATATATTAAATTCAGACTTGCAATCTTAAAACACCCCATAGCATGTTTTCTCTAGCTAATGGCAGTGCAGCAGCTGGAGCAATTAATAATTGCTGTTGTCTTCTGTGCTCGTAGGACGCACACACATCCCATGGCTTCACTGCTGGCTGGCTTTAGATTATGGCTGCACCATTTATCAGCTGAGTAACTGGACAATTATTTAAAGTCTCTGAATTTCAGTTTTCTTTAAGAATGTGTTTAATAACAGTAATTACTTCAAGTTGTATAAGGTTGACCAAGAGAGGTTTTTTTTTGTTTTTTTTTTTTATGCCAAGTACGTAGGATAGTCTCTGACATATAGTAACCATGTTTTAGAACAATTTTTATCATTGTTCATGAAGATAATAAAGGCCCAACATATTACCTACTCCTAACTGCTACCCTTCCGCTACCCAGCTCAGGAAAACATTGGTCTTGGATTGAAGGCCTCTTTTATGATTAATTTTGAGCTCATAAGGATATAAACAAATAAGTCACTTTTATAATGCTAATAGACATGTTCATGGGCATTAGATTAATAGTTTAAAACAAAGAAGGCAGCATTTGTCCTATTTATCACTCAGTAAGTCTCATTTGTTGGAAGCATGGAGGCCACGGTCCACGCAGATGATTGCTGGAAGCATTTGTACATGCCGCCACTTTAGGACTTTTATCCAAGTACAGGCCTAGTGATACCCATGCCAACTTTTTATTAAGGAACCAAATACATAAGCAAAATTAAAGGAGTTCACCTCTATACACCCTATTGTAATTTGAACACATAATAGCCATATCCGTGGGTCCAAAATAGACCAAGGAATTTTGATGACTCTCTGATGTGGAAGGAGTAGAATTTAAGCAATGCCCTATTGGTGAGGAGGTGGGGCTGCTGCAGCTTCCTAGTGCTGCAAACAACTAATGCTTGCAGTTGATAATTTTATAAACAAAGGAATATTTTTAAGTCTAGCTACATATTAACATGACATACTTCTTTTACCTGAGTTTTAGGGTTTTGGGATGTTCTGTTT